GCTTGTATAAACAGCCTCCCTATTTAATACTATTAGCGTGCATCGTCAAACAGCCTGTATGAGGCCGTGGACACTGTTTCCCACGCACACAGCTCGCGCTGGGATGGGCCACCACTCGTATCTCCCTCAATTCTCAACCGTTTTTCATGGGGTCTTTTGCAATGGAATCGCTCAAACGTCCTCTCCATCTTTCATTATTACACCAAGATAGGTCATCTAGTACAATCGTTAACATTGACACAGCTCCCACGGCTCAGAGAACTGCATTGCTTACGTTAATTAAACTGAATAGGACAATACAAAAACTGAATAACACCATACATTCAACCTCAGTTCATTATAGAAGATATAGAATATATATAATAATATATAATATAATATAATATAATATATATATAAGTATATGTGTTCTATTCAGTTTTTGTATTGTCCTATTCAGTTTAATTAACGTAAGCAATGCAGTTCTCTGAGCCGTGGGAGCTGTTTCAATGTTAACAATTGCACTAGATAACCTATTATGGTGTAATAATAAAGGATGGAGAGGACGTTTGAGCAATTCCAGTACAAAAAATTCCATGAAAAACTGAGGGAGATACGAGTGGTGGCCCATCCAGCGCGAGGTGTGTGCGTGGGAAACAGTCTCCACGGCCTCATACAGGCTATTTGACGATGTGCGCCAATAATACAGAATATAGGGACGTTAATACAAGCTCATTAAAAAAAGTTTGACGAAAAACGAACAGGATTTGACAGAGATATGCATGTACATGTCTTTTGTGTGTGAAAAAATGTGAAAAAACGTTCCACTGCCTCATAGACCCCATTCGCGATTAACGCCAATAGTATAAGATAATGAAGGCATTGTTACAAGTATGTACAAAAAAAACGGTGAAAAACAAATGATAATTGACAGAGATACGAATGTATATGCTTTTTTTTGTGAAAAATTGTGAAAAACCGTTCCACTGCCTCATGAACGCTTATTTGCGACTTGCGCCAATAGTAGAAAATGGCCAGAGGGTTAGTACGGGCCCATTAAAAGAAACCCGACGAAAGACAAATCAAAATTGAGAGAGATACTAATCTACATGCTTTATTTGTGGAAAAAACGTTCCCCCTCCTCATTCACGCTGATTCACGACTTTCACCAACAATAACAAATGGAAGTGAAGGTAGTACGAGCCCAATGAAAAAAACCCGACGGAAAACGGTCAAGAACTGAGGGAGATACCAATCCAGTGTCAGCTCCGCGGCTGATCTGTGCGTGGGAAACGGTCCCCAGCACCCTACAGATGTTTTAGAAATATGAAAAAATATTAGGTACCTGCGTTAATACTATATAAAATGGTTCGCAAAATTCCAGGACATTTGGTGCTGTAGCAAGCGAGATATGATAAATTATTCCATTAAATTTTACTTGGCACCCTCAAGATCGCAGAATATCAAGTTGAGGTAATAATACACATTATAAAGGGAGTTAATACGCGCCCGTTGAAAAAAACCCGAAGAGAAACGAATAGGAACTGACGGAGATAACAATCCAGTGCCAGCTCCGCGGATGATCTGTGCGTGGGAAACGGTCTCCAGCGCCTCACAGATGTTTTAAAAATATGTAAAAATATGCCATACTTGCGTTGATAGTATATAAAATAGCATGAAAAATTACAGAGCATTTGGTCCAGTATCAAGCGAGATATGACAAATTATTCTATTAAATTTCACTTGGCACCCTCAAGATCTCAAAATATCAAGTTTGGGTAATAACAAACATTGTAGAGGGCATTGACACGCGCCCATTGAAAAAGATCCGAAGAGAAACAAGGAGGAACTGACAGAGATAAGAATACAGTGTCAGCTCCGCGCATGATCTGTGCGTGGGAAAACGCTCCCAGTGCCTCACAGACGTCATAAAAAATATATAAAAATATGGAATAGTTGCGTTAATAATATATATAATGGTATGCAAAATTATAAAACGTTTGGTCCAGTATTAAGCGAGATATAAGAATAATACCATACAGTTTTGTGTGGGAAATAAGAAAATCGCCATAATATCCTCAGGATGGCCTAACGACGAGTCGGACTAATAATACAACATGTACAGGACATTAAGACGCGCCCATTGAAAAAAACCCGAGGAGAAACGGATGAGAACTGACAGAGATATGATAGATTTATGTAAAGAATCATGTGTATATGTTTAGTTTAAGGAAATTCACGTGAGTAATGAGTTTAACCTCCCACAACTTTTTTCGCGCACAGACATATGCGAAAAAGTACTAATACCCCCACTCAAAACCAGTTTCATGGGAGCAATTCCTTTTTGTTCCCATGTGACTTTGGCATGTAAAATAGATGAAATAGATAGGTAAATATAGGTAGATAAAATAGGTAGATAAATAGGTCATAATAGTCGTAAATAATAATAATAATAATAATAATAGTAGTAAATAGTAAATGAATAAATAATTATAGTAATAGTAGTAGTAGTAGTATTTTTGTTGTATTAGTTATTGTTTTTTTGTCGAAAATTGGCATGTACAATAAATGGTAGTATTGTTTTTTTCTTTGTATTTTCGCATGTAAAATAAATAAATAGAAAGTAAATAAGTTAAAATCCGGAGTTTCCAACAACAGAACCAAAATAAACTAAGGTTCCAGATAAGGTAAAAATTCGAAAAATTCATGGCAACATGGGACAACATGAAATAGAAACATCCAAAACAAGGTATTCTATATAGAATAAAATCTGAAAAAATTGCGGCAATGGGGGAAAACCAAGAAAAATGATACCAAGGTATTCTATGCAAATTAAAATCCAGAAAATTCATGGCAACATGGGACAGTATAGAATAAAAATAAAAGTAAGGTGCTCTCTATAAAATAAAATCAAGAAAATTCACAGCAACATGGGGAACACTGTTTTATAAACTCACAAGGAATTTCATGTGATGGGGAGTGGTTGGGGTGGTGGGTTTGGAGAAATGGCCAGAAAATGAAGAAAAACAATCCACTCCTGGATTGGGGAAGGTGTTTCTCATTCCTGTGCATGATTAATGGAGTGGGGTTTGGGGTGCAGCCCCAAGGCTCTCCGCAGGAGTGGGGTTCAGGGCAGCGCCCTGATGGCCCTCCGCAGGAGCAGGGGTTCAAGGGGCTGGCCCCTTGGTGTAAAAAATAATCAAATATATCCAGGGGGTTTGGGGCGCAGCCCCAGGCTCTCCGCAGGAGTGGGGCTTGGGGCAATGCCCCAATAGCTCTCTGCAGGAGCTGGGGTTCAAGGGGCTGGCCCCTTGGTGCATAAATAATCACCATATATCTCATTATTTCTTTAGCACATGGGGAACAATAATAACAAGGATGTCGTTGCATGGGGCAGTGCCCCAATGGGGTCTGGGGCAATGCCCCAGGGGGGTTCGGGGCACAGCCCCGATGCCCTCCGCAGGAGCTAGAGACTGCTAAATGCGTGTGTGTGCGAGGAACGAGCACCCCACAGGTTAAAGGTCTCTAGTACAAAAACTGAATAGAACAATATATTCAACCTGACTTTATTATATATATGAGATATATATATATGAGATATGAGATATGAGATTATTATTATTATTATATATTATATATATGGAAGAAGATTGGAAGGAACACTGGGCAAGCACACCCACCCCGATCTGATCAGGATCCCACACAGCACCCCCATCGATCAAACCCACCACCAGGTTCAAATTGCTGGACCGAAAAACCTTCAGCAGGCTGGTCCAGTTCCACACCGGCCACGCACACCTGGGCGAATACTACCACCAGTTCGGTATTCACACAGAGAGTAGAGAGTGCACATGTGGAGCAGCTAACCAGATGAGAGAGCACATCCTTCAGGTATGCCCACAGTTTAAGAAACATAGACGCGTACTGGGCCAGGGCCATCAGAACAGGTTTTTGACCCTTATGGGGAAGCCCAAAGGCATTCTTAGACTAGCAGACTTCATCAAGAAGTCGCAGGCCATCAACAAAAAGAACAGACAGAGAACGACTCCGAACGGGGGAACAGGAAACAGGAGTACCCAACCAGTAACCCCCCGTAGGGAGAGAGGAGTGACATAGACATCACTACACCCCCACGCATACCCAGATAAGACTTAAACCCAGACATCACAACCCAGAGGACCCTGTCACCCCGACCACACCAACCAGACAACCCTACCTTGTATTGACGAGCCCCTCATGTACATGCAGATGTAATTATTAGTCGGGCTAGCCGCACTGCCACGTACAAACACAGCTGCAGGGTAACAAAATAGAGTACAACAAGAACAACAACTGCTTCAGGTTTACGAGGTTCGGCATTCCACAACTAGTAATGATATATCCCTAATGTTTGCTTCATTCACGTAGAATGTTACTGGTAATAATGAAGCTTTCAAAGGGCTGAGTGATGATGTACAAAATGCATATAACACGATTCTGCACCCCCTCCAGCTATGGACAGGACACATTCCTCCCAAAGTAATTTCCCCACTCAAGGATTTACACTTGTATGTGGCTGCCGTTCCGATCTTTCATTCAGATTTGAAAAATTGTTGACAGGGCCCTAGAAGACCAGGTAAAGAGGATCAAGTCGCTCGAGAGTCAGAATCGAAAGCCTTTGAGGAAAATATTCATGGCAGGCTCTTTAGTGCAAAGCATAAATGGTGTGAGGACGTGTATTAGTGAAGCTCTCTCCCAGTTTGCAGTTCGCAAGATCGGTATTTATGCCGATAGACTTCAACTAATAGAGCATTCTCTATAGCTGGTGGCAACAACTTTAAACCTTCTCCATACGATTCAGGTGTCAGTGGATTGTTCGTCCTTTTGGCTTGATTCTAGACTCTTTATCTGAGTGCCATTTTCAGACGAGCTTTCAAAACTGCCCAAATTAGATGCTGAATATTATTGTGTGGAGAGCAAGTCAGAAAGCCCCAAAACTACTCGGGAGATAATCCGCAGCTCAATTCTCAAGTACCTGAGGGATCCTAAGAATTGATTTGTCTGGCTGCGTGGTTCGCCTGGGATGGGGAAAACTGTGATATCTATGAGTGTAGCTTCCACGCTTGACAAGCAGCACACCCTTGCAGCATCCTTCTTCTGGGATAAGAACCAAGAGGGAACAGGACTCGATTCGATATCACGCTTCCCCTCCACCCTTGCCCAACAGCTTGCGGCATTCAATGCCGAGTATCAGAACTCGCTTATCAGGCAACTTCGGGATCCCGCTTTATTCAGCAGTATTGATGGTTCTCCTCTAGAGAAAGAGGTGAAAGCTTGGATCATCAACCCTATGCGTGAACTTGGGGGTGTATTGTCTTCAGGAAAGGGTCACCCAGTGATCGTATTGGATTGTTGCACAGAGGAAACTCAGCATGTATGACCTATCACAGCTCCTTGGAACGATTCCTGAGCATGAAGTGCACTCGATACTCAAGCCCCTTAGCTCAATAATCGATATACCTTCAGCGAAAAAAGGGCCTGTCAAATTTTCCCATGCAACAGTGAAGGAATTCATCACCGGGATTCCGATTGGCAAGAAAGGGTATTCAATTGGGTTGCAGCTCCTCTGGTGTATGAATGGTGTCATTAAAAGGAATGAGTTCGGTCTCCCCACTGAACTTCCTTTGGGAGATGAAGAAAAGTGGAAGTCTAGGAACAACACTCCAGCACCCAAGCATGTCAACTATGTGCTTACACACCTGTTCCAACACTTGGACCCTTTGCTCCTCTTTTCACAAGAGTCTAATGAATTGCAGAGAGAATTTGAACAATTTTGGACACAAAAACTTGATCTCGTTCTTCCGAGCAGGAGGTAACAATATTCCTGATGATTGGAATGATTTTGAGGTGAAGCCGCAAATGAATTGTGTTTCAATGCAGTGACGTCACTTTGTTTTACAGAAGAATCACAAGTCAATCTCTGTCATCCGTGATGCTTGGAAATTCTTTCACAGTTCCCCATGGCATGCTTATCAATCTGGCCTTCCATTCTCTCCAATGTCATCACCCGTGTACAAATATTATGGTCATCTCTCAGACCCTGTTCGAGTGTTCAGTGTCTCCAGCAAGTTCGCCGGTGGCTTAATTCCTTTATCCGATGAGGCACATGGAGCTCGAAGGGTGATGGAGGTGGAGCTACCTAAATTGCCGAAGAACTGTAGATGGGAGACCAATTATAAAGCCGAGTTTCTTAACAACAATGTTCGCAATGGCATTGTGACCTGTGCAGCGCTCTCAAGAGATGGCCATCATGTAGCGCTTGGATTTGGAAGTGGTATTATCAAAGTAGCTGACATTGACAATCAGTGCACAATCTGTCAATTCCACAGCGATTCTTCCATTCCTCCTGTTTGGATTGAATTTATCCAAGGCGGTAATGCCCACATTGTCACTGAAGATACTCAAGGAAACACTACCATTTTCCGCCATGAAATGCCTGCAGTAAACCTTGGCATTCTTCCCAGTAGTCATTACCTTCCTCTAACTGCAGTGTCGGACAATGGATGTTTTATTGTACGAGTCCCACGAAATTTTAAAGATGTTTGGTATGAGAACACAACACTCTTGTGTGTCTTGGACAACCAATTCATTCAGCTTCTCACACCTCCTTCCACTGCTCAGTCTCCCAAATACTTTTCCTCTCCTTTGCGACACTCGCTTGGATTCTCTCCTGGAGGCCGATATGTCTGCGCTTACGATGCACATGATTCTTTTGTCTGGTCAACATATTCAGGTGAATTGATCGCACAATTTTGCGTGCAAAGTTTCAACAAGTGGATCATCAATACTGGAGTTGCCCCCCATTGCTCATATTCCATCCCCAACCCCATGACCCTTCGATCTGCCATTCCTTTGGTCCTGGAAATGGATATGAACTGTGGACAAACTTCCAACTCGTCATTGTCCAGGCACGGCTCAGATGAATCCTGGCTGAAGTGCCCTTTTTATGACCTTCACCTCCCATCTGAATGGAGGGATTGGATAAAAGTCTACTCATGCACAGCAGGAAGAGTCCCATTAATTGTCACCTGTTCCATCTTCGATGTATTCAACTGGGAGATTTTTCTCAATGGGAGAACCGAATTCATTTTCTGATTATCTCTATGTGATTACGAACCAATCAACCAAGAGGTGGTTCCCAACGACATGGATCCCAAGTGCGATGTGGTGATTGATATATATATATGGTGGACAATAGGCGTCCCAATAGGGGTTTCACAATGGGCTAAAGTGCACCAAAACTGCCGATCCTGTCAGGGACGCGTCCAGGGTCGAGAGGGACCAGGGGTAATGTCCGGCACTGAAGCCGTCGCGGGGTGTGGAGCGGGCATGCATACTGGTGGGCCCGATCCGGGACAGCGGTCCCTGGCCACTTAGTCTGAAGTGGAGAATGTGTTATTATTATTAAAGGGGGAAACTATACTACTTACCTGAAGTGGAGAATGTGAGAAGAAGGTTACTTCTTCGGTTCCCACTTCAGGTACATTTATGTACATGCGGCTTGAGTCACATGATGAGTGCCACATCATCCTCGGAGGCAGCCACAGGCATCCGGGTGTCCCTGTGGGGGATCCTGAGAGCGTCTGCTGCATGCGCGTGTGCTGGGCACAGCGGGAAGCCGTCTGGGGTGTGTGAGCCGGATGGGTCAATAGTACATCGATACAAAGAAAGATGATCCATGTAGATAGAAAGAAATAAACAGGAAGAGGAAGGTGAGAAGAAAGAAGTGAAGAAGGAGATAAAGAAAGGGAAGGAGAGGGAGGAAGGAGGGGGAGGGGGATAGGCAGCGGGGAGCGGGTGTGGTGTGGCCGGGTGGGTCCGGGTGGACCCGGGTCAGGCAGGTGTGCCCTGACAGATTGTTATAAAAATGGGGCCTAATTGGCCCATTTCTATAGCGTCCGGGTGCAGGAGGGGGCCGTGACATTGAGAAGATGTTACAATTAATGTAACAGATGTTGTAACAGTGGGGTTTACAATAACATAGACATCGGGTGTTTTGGGTGATAATAGTTGGTTAGGTTGTTACTCTTTACATGTCACGTGATATTGTACTGCATAGAGCCCATAAGAGGCTAAAAATGGGAAAATCCCATTTCCATAACACAGATCCTTAACTGCACCTAAACTGGACAGAACTGGTTCTAAACTGTCAGTTTAGCTAAATTCGAAAACAGGCCTCTGAAGGCCAAAGCTGTACTTTAGAGTGTTGGAGGAACAACCTCGAAGCATGTATTTACTATTGTTTAGTGGTAATACCTTCCTAATTAAGAGTCCACTATATTCTCGTCCAGCCGCCCTCAACTTGGTTCTCTCTATAGGTTATGAGCCCAGGCGGCTCGCCTGGACAAGCTTAGGTATCAAGGAAGTCCGCCCGACTCTCGTGGCAGTTGGTCAAAGTGCAGTTGACCACCTTCATAAGTCCTCAGCGGAGGCAGGGGCAATCCCCCGTATCTTAAGTCCCATGCGGCATTTGTTAAGTCCTGTACACCAGGCATCCTTTTAAGTCCTACACGGCATTGTTTTGGGGCACTAAAGTCCAGCCCAGCGCCCACTGTTAAGGCCGGTGTGTGGCATCCTTCAAGTTTGTCTTTGGGCATGGAAGTCCAGCCTGGCACCCACTATTAAGGCCAGTGTGTGGCAATTATTCAAGTTTGTTTGGGCTCGAAAGTCCAACCCGGCGCCCACTGTTAAGGCCGGTGTGTGGCATTCAAGTTTTGTGTTGGCCCACAAGTCCAGTCTGGCGCCCATCTTTAAGGTTGGACTTGGCACCCCTTCGAAGTCCTGGAAGGCAGTAATTGGCACCCCCCCTTCTCTCCTTGCTCTAAGTCCTCAGACAGGCATGCAACACTCTTATTTCCCTTCCCTTCCTTGCCACGTTGCAAGAGGGCTAGCGGCTCTCTATGCCGACTAAGCTCGTGGGGCCAAACTCTCCTAAACTCTCTACTTTCTCTCTAAACTTCGCTTGACTCTCGATCCTTAAACTCCGTGTGGGTTCTCTGGGATTTCCGCAAGGTCCGGGCTCAGCGTCCACTACTCACTCGTTGTGAGCTAGACAGCTGCCCTTATTCCTACTGTTGGAATTCCACTCACTCACACCCTCTCTAGCGCGTCCTAGCACCTTAGAGAAAATGGGGGAGGGGAGAACTTCTATTCCAGAATCCGGTATGTACAGGATATAAGGAACAATTATTTTTAGAATAATTGATGAGAAATATTGGTACCATATGGCACCTGCATACCTTATTAGGCGAAATAATAAAAAAGGGTAACAGTATCAATAAAAGAATATTGATCAATAACTGAAATGATGCAAAAATATGAAAATATAAGAAAATAAGTGATATCTCAACGGATTTACGGAATTAAGAGCCGAAATTGGAAATGAAGCCGGAGATAACTCTCACGCAGCCGATGAGCATTTTTACCAATTTATTAGACGCCGTGGGAACGAGTGAGGCTGGAATCCTGGGTTGCCGCTTGAGATTCCCACGCCCGCACATACTCGTGACCTGCCATGCCTAACTTGCCCAACATAGAACTCCGTCAATTCTCCACCGATTGGGACGTTCTTGATATCGTCAGAATCGTACGAATTAGCACTATTTTTAGATACCAATTCCATACTGAGTCGTCGCATGAATGAAAGGGGTTTTCTGATCGTGGAAACGGGTATCCGAGCCGGCACTGTGCGTGGGCGATTATCCCGCCTACAACGTCACCATTTTTTCATTTTCCCATGGTCCAATCGCGCACGCTCAAAGGCAGCAACCCAATCCCACCTTGCACCTGGCACCAGCAGGCCATTGGGGCCACTCCCTTACTGCCTTACCATGGAACACTGTGGATTCAGAGGGTGATCCCCCCTTTCAAATATCGTATTAATTCTCATGCACACTTTGGACAAGTTGGACACCCGGGATTGCTGAGAAGGCTCACCCCACCGACTGCCTGGCATGGCATCCACTCAGATTTGGAAGACAACCAATCACCATTGATTATTGGACTAGCACCCTTGATCACGCATCCATTGGATTTCACCTTTCCACATTCCCTTCACCACTCCATTCCCATTCAATTTTATTCCATTCTTTTTCAGTCAATTTCTTCACACCGGTTTCATTATATCATGGATTCATGTTAGATGGTTACATGTTCTTTCGTTTGAGAGGGTGTGTTGGAGGAACAACCTCGAAGCATGTATTTACTATTGTTTAGTGGTAATACCTTCCTAATTAAGAGTCCACTATATTCTCGTCCAGCCACCCTCAACTTGGTTCTCTCTATATAGAGTAGTCCAAACTCAAATCCCAAACTCGGGCTTAGTATACATATGTCCATTCAGATAACTGTACAGATCCTTCACTGAATTAGTCTCTCCGTCACTATCAGCACCGTTGTTGCAGTCAACCCCACCCCACCACATCATGCCATCAACTTAGCTACCGACTGTGAATTCAAGCTATTGCTCATAACTTGTGCCTCCAAAGTGGGTTCAGGGAGTGTTGCTATGACTAGCCTGGTAAGGTGTTAGCGCTCAGCGGCTACACTTGCACTATAGTGGGGGACTTAAGTGGGACTGCAAAGGGCAGTGGCCATAAGTGACAAATATTATTAGGTGTATATATGATACCATGCAAAGGGTTGGATAGTGCACAGATGCATCGGAGAGACCGGATTACAATGGAGGTGGAATCGCTGAAGCAGCTGGTGACTCATAATCCAACAGGGAGATCACTCTCACCCTACTCCAAAGTGCCGATGCTTGATATACCAGGGGCCCAGTGTGCAGAAATAGTTTCCACATGCCACCAAAGAGTCGGCATCATTGGCCTTTGAATGAGTTCAGCATGTTGGACGGCAGCAGCGATGAGTTACATAATCCATTTAGAGCCACGTGGTGTCGGTGATAAGGAGCCAGCTGTGGCCTCAAGTGTTGGGCGGGTTTGGGACTAGTTTGGGACAGTCCATCGTGAATGCTTCTCAACTCCCATCTAAACTGAACTCTTAACTGTCCCTCAACTCGGGTCACTTTAAGTCTAGTTTACATCCCAGTTTAGGACCACTTTAGCTCATCGTGAAACCCCCTAATGACGCTATGCAATACAGGTTTTACCTTCCCCAGGCTAGTAAAGATGGAACTCGATTTCTTATCCAGGGAAAGATGAAAGCCCCAATCATTGTCGACATCAGCCAGATTGTTTAATACCATAATGAATGTCCGTAATTCCTCTTTCCTCGGTTAATGTCTTCATTTTGTGACGGAGTGAATCAAGAGTCATACTGGCTTATATAGCGTTGCGTGTAGGACCGCAATGTTAACGTTGGTTGAAGTAAATGACAGCTTCCTGGCCACCTGATGCCCGGAAAAGACAACCCGCGAAGCTTTGTGGTCGGAAAGTAAAAGTCTGGAAAATATGTCAGCTTTTAGGTTTGGCGAAATTGCGGCAGAGACAAATCTAGAGAGTTACCGGCCCTCTGTTCCGAAATCTCGACCACAAGAGTATCAGAGGAATTGACAGAGCAATGGCTAGTTGCGCGCGAAATAGGCTGCTTGCGTGGCCCATGCAGAGTCATAGACTCCAATTAATTCTATAATCCATTCCCAGCATGTGAGCACATTGCAACGTTCCAGGGGTATTTATGATACGGCGAATGATATTGGGGAGCGGCAACCGTACTCTCGCGGTCCTGAAAGTCCTAATTCTACCTCTGCTTCGGATAGTTTTTTGCCGATTTGACCTTAGATTCCCGTGCACGTTCAGGGAAGATTTGAAAGAGGAGATGTTGGAGTGAAACTGAATTTATTGGGTACTCATGCCGATGCCAATGTTTCAATGGCGCCATTCCACTATCAAAATCAACGTCTGCCGTCCCAAGCTCGGGCTGAGCGTTGCTCCTCACATTAATCCCATATGGGCCTTATCGATCCCAACCAATTTCCTGGCTGGTGTCAGGCAGGTGTGTGGCACACCACCACGATTGTGGGGACGCGGAGGATATCCGCGAGTATCCAGGAAGTGCATTGACTTAATACAGGAGCGATGCCTGTGCACGTTCCAGGATCAGCGGAGGTCGAGTCCGAAGGGATGACTCGGAGGGGGCTTTCTTAGGGCAAAAAAGCGGTAAGTACAGTTGCAGCTGGAGACGTGGAAGGAATGATACAATACTGTCCATTGCGCTCAACATGCCGATTGGAGAGACGTTTAGACTGAGACACTGAGGCTAAGGGAACGAGAAAAGTGGATGTGAACGATTCGAGGTGTGACTTATATGGAGATGAGCATTTCGTAAAGCTCGTTATTTCGATTGTGGTGGAATGCCAAAAGCCTTCACCTTCACTATTCAGTATCCAATGCCTGGAATGGCTCTTTTCCTGCGGGTGGTTATAGCCTCATCCAGGACAACGCACAGACCTAATTCCCCGAAAGCCCGGCGAAAAAATGCTAGATTCTCGTTCCTCTAATCTTCAACTGTGGCTAGGCCTCATAACTGTTGAACAGCATCGGGAATCTGTCTCAAAAATAACATGGGTTCGGTCGTTGGGAGAGGTTAAGTATTGGGCGCCATGCAAATAGTTCTCACAGGGCCTCGATCCCCACTTCCCTGGTAGAAGGGTGGCGCGCGGCCAGCGGGATACGCTCCAGGCGGCTACGCATCAGGAAATGGTTATGATTGAGTCTAGAAAGTATTGCGGTGGCACTTGGCCGATTCGGGTATCTGATCCCACTCTACCAACTTACAAAGGCGGCGTGAATTCGACTGAAATGTATGTTGTCGATTCTGAAGGGAACGCTTTTTGAAACCATTCGGGGCTCCACTTGTTTGATGACCAGTGCACTCGGAAGAGAGCTGTTCAGGTCCTCGCCCATTTTCTTCAATAGGAGGGAGGCGTGGATCTGGCTTGAATTTTTGATCCGGATTTGCGTGTCGAGTATCTTGACGCGGAAGGCATCATATCTCAATTCATTCAGCGGGCGTTTTCCATGGGGAACTTGTCGACACGAATTAAGCACGCTGCGGTTGAGCTCTGGAGTCTGGTGTAGAACCTGAAGGCAGTTGGCCGGGGTTTTCCGGTTTCAAAGCATGAAGGACTGATGATCCCGATCGACTTGTCGGGAGACCAATCTTCCAGTCGCTTGACGTACGGAGTTGGAGATCAGAATTAGAAAGTCGGCTGTTTTCGCCCACCGACTTGTGCCGGGACACATATGAATTAATTGTAAGCGGGCACATGTACGGGAAGTAATACTTATCTTTCAGCTAATTGGTTGGTCGGTCTCTTGCGCTCGATCGTGCAGAGAAGTCCTCGTCAGTAAATTTTACGTTGGAGGCATAATTACGTAAATGAGTTTCCTGCTTGGGAAGTTCCAGTTCTTCCTGTCAATGTCATACCTGCTTCGGGGCCCGCGCCAGCAAACCCACGGTCCGGAACGAACCGCGCCGGCGCCTTGCAACAAGTCTCAATATCGAGTCGCCCTGGCCGCATCAACGGATTATGGAGCTGGATGAGGGAACTAGTTTCCTCCTGCTCCCCGCTACAGTGTTCCTTGAGCAGCTTCCGGTTTAAAAGGGGAACAAGACGCAACCATGGCTACATCGGCGGTGAGGATGTCCAGCGCTGGCTCCATCGAAATGTCCAGTCTACAGCTATCACCCACCCGATCCATACCTACCACTGCAACTGCAACTCCAATTTCCTCTCGGAGCCCTGATAACCACGATGAGAGGAGGGTCGCGGCGGCGGTTGATAGTGTTGATCATGTTGAAGTATCCGTTATTGATCTCAAGGATAAAGGGACTAGGGATAACAATACGGAGGCTGGACCTGTTTCGTTTTTCGCGCTCTTTCGTTTTTCTACCAGATGGGAATGTTCTTGGATTTTATCGGGATCCTTTGTGCTCTTGCTGCGGGTGCTGCTCAGGTATGCAGAATACCCGTGTTCGTGCTATCTGTCGTTTAAACGTACTGCTCTTTTTTCTTTTCTTGCCTGGATACACACCCCACCCCCATCACTACCATCCCACATACCCCCCACACCAACAATCATTCGACGCTCACTTCTTTCACTTCCGTATCTTCCCCTATGGATTCATTAGCCACTCATGGCACTCCTCTTCGGGAACCTAACGAACAATTTCGTCAATTTCGGTAAAAAGTAGCTGCTCGTGCAAATTCCCAGATTATCAGGAAATTCCAACAAGCGAGGGATAATTTTAGACATCGAGCTTCGATGGACACCTTTTTTTGGCGCTGATTGGAGTTGGGATACTCATTTGTTCGTATGTCTATATGATTACTTGGGTAAGTCGATTCCTTCCCTCTCTCTCTTTATATTTATTTGTGTATCTTATCACTGGAGAATTTGGATTTGAACTCGTGTCCACTGACTTTACTTATCTCAGGTCTACACGGGCGAAGTGAACTCGAGAAGAATCAGAGAGAAATACCTCCAAGCTATCCTCCGTCAAGATATCGCGTATTTCGATAATATCGGTGCAGGAGAAGTGGCCACTCGTATTCAAACTGATACCCGTACGTTTC